TAAAACTCATTATTGATGAGGGAATTAAGTGAAGCATAATTAGAAAACTATTTTAAGCCATGCACTGAAGAAACAATATATTCATTTACTACATATTAATAGTTTTGGAAAAAGTTTGGGATAAATTGTGCTTTATACTAATAATAAGGGAAAATGGAAAAATTGAAAAATTAACTTCTACATCTTAACCTACGGTATACGCTTAGGGAGCATTGGGCTACCACTGTGCGGTGCCTGGGGAGCAATTGTGGTTTAAGGGTCTTGCTCAGGAACCCAGACTGCAGGCTGTGGGGATCAAAATGAGAAGGTGGCAAGTACCCAGTTTAGGACACACTCCCTTTATGCATTAAAATGCAGCCTTAATGCTGTCAGTGTAGGATCCATTTATACAGACATTCTTCTTTTGTATTTTGAAATGTACCATATCTGCTTTCCTCTCCCAAATCTAACTTCCCATCTAGGTCACTTTTTAACACAAAAACAATACACACATTTTGCTCTGTCATTCTAAAAAAATAGAATTATTCTGTATATCTGACAGACCACTACAGAAGGCTGTCCATCAATTTGGTGGGAATTAGCACACAAACGTGAATGGCTTCTGAATGGAAAAGATGATGAAATCTGTGAGAATAAGGGGTTACATTCTAGACTGTAGGTTTGAAACTTCCTCTCTTCTTAAATACCCTGCAGTGACACAGCTATGCTAGAAATATTCTTATTCACACCAAGAGTCAAAAATTTATGAATACAATTTGGATAAAAGAATACACATTTGATTATTGTGTATAATATGGGAGGAAAAGCCAACTGAAGTAACAACAGCACAGAATCCATACAGTTTCCATAATAAGGAAAGCATTTCCAATCAGTAACTAGTGCTCTTTTTTTATGTCTGCCTCTTTAAACGGAAAAAAATAATTAGAATCACTTTTGCTGTAGATGACTTTATTAATTAGCGAGCTCCTCTTTTATTCAGCCCTTTATTCCACCCACGTCTGATTTTCTGGCCTTGAAAAAGTGCTGCGAACAAAGGGGCAGAGATGAAATAAATTGTTATCGAAGCTAAACCCACAGAAAACTCTCTCGGCCATCAGATTTTTTTCTTTGCCACTCTGCCTGTTGCCATTGTTCTTTGACACAGTGTAATATGAATGCCACTGGCAGCGCTTATTATCACCAAACCCCTAGAGTCCTGACTGTATAAAAGCTACATTTCATTTTTTAAATGCTAAAATTCTTTGAAAAAAAACATTAAAGGTCTGTTCTGGGGAAAAATTATAATTTCACATTCGTTTAATGACATGCATAACAATATCAACCATCAGATTGGTCTTTTCTGAAACCATTCATGTTGGCTCGTGGCAAGCCTTAAGAAGGAGGAGCCTTACTTTGTTGCATTTACCGCAGCCGATGCACTAAACTCAGCCCTTCAGCAGCAAATAGGACAAGGAAGAACCTGCTACTCAGACAATAAGTCAAACATAAAACAGGAGGTTGTCAACACTCAAAAAAATCATCTAGAAATAAGTAAACATTTCTTAAATAAAGTGTATCTACCCTTAATTTGAGTAGGTAAATGAGATAGATGCTAATGGAATGAGTATTTTTACTCCTAAATAAGATAACTAGATAAAAAACATTTGAAATAAGACAATGAAATTGTGTTCTTATTTTAAATGTAAATTGTCTTGTTCCATTGGCAAAATGTCTCTTTTATCTCCTCAATCCAAGAACAAATGCACTTATTTTAAGAAAAGAAGGACTTATCTAGATTTAGATTTTTTTCTGTGATGGAGGTTGCCAAAGAAAAGATTTAACTTTCTATTGAGTCATTGGAGGGAAATGACTCTTGTAAAGACGTCCAAGATATTTAGTAGAGCAACCAAAACCTGCTGAGAAAGATCCGTTTTATGGCAAAATATGGATGGGAAAACAAGGAGGCTAAAGAAGAACACGAACAACACTGAATATTAACTTTTATGGCTGAAATAATTATTTGCAGCTTTTTATTTCTCTTATCATACTGAAAATAAAGAATACAATATGATTCAGGTTTTGGTATATTCAGCAGCCTAGTATTACTTGAAAAGAAAGCTGTCATTTTGTTACAATTAAATTTTATACAACAGAAAAACTATTATTTTAATCAATGTTTTATGCAGGATATTTTAAAGTTTGTCCTTTATTGAATCTTTCCAACTGCAAAGGCTAAATAGGTAATAAATATGTAGAACCATGCTGCTGGGGTACAGTGCATATGCGTCAACTCATGTGCAGACTTTTGCAGATGTTTCCATTTATTTCTCCGTATTTTACTTTTATTACATTCATGTCTTTTTAAACTTTTATTTTTCTTTACTTATCTTATTTGTATATACAATCTTATTTTTTTCTCTCTATTTAAACCGTTCCACTTGGAAGAAAAAGAATTTACCGCAAGGGATTAATAAAGTAATTCTGATTCTGATAACCAAATATCATTTAATTATTTTAAAACCAGATCAGATGTTAAAAAAAAACTAAATACAGTCACCCTAATTCTATATGTTGTTAACCACTGTATAATCTTAAAACAATGCTCCACTGTTGGTGTTATAATTCCTGATAGTTAATCTTTTCTTTTGCTTTTTTTCCTGTTGTTGAATGGCATATTGTTGTTATCACAGTGTGTTTTATAGAGGGACACCAGTAAGTGTAATTTATTGGTGTAAACACTAACTCCCTTCGACTGGAGTCTTAGAAAGCTTTAGGGAGTGTGTTTGTGTTTTGTGAAAGGACAGAGGAGGAGCTGATTCTCTGACTTACCAAGCAAGTTAATCTAACATAGCTCTACTAAATACATCTACAGTATGCAGTGTGCATTTAATGAATATATTACCACTCTGAACGGATCAGGGCTGAATGTAACTAAAAGCAACAGATTAATGGACTTTAGCTAAGTATTCTGCTTTTAGAATCAGTTAATAAACAGAAAAGGTGTTAAACACCAATCTGTGTTCAATCTCTTACAACCAGATTGAGTAACATACTGTATTCAGTAAGTTTCTACACTAACCCTGCTGAGTTACACACCTTTCTAGTTCTGCTATTAACATTGTCTATCTTTAATTGGATAAAGACCTAAATGTCTTAATTTAAAGAACTTATACAATGTCCACAAAATAAGTCTCTAAAAACCACTTGTCACTGCATCACTATAAGAATAAGCAGATTAAAACAGCACAAGCTAAAACCAGAGACAAAAGAAAGTGCTGAGTTGAGGCATTCTCTTAGTAAATTCTTATGTTGCTCAAGCAGCGAAAAAACAAAGAAGATGAAAAATCTGTTTGAACAGGATATTTTGGAACATCTGTTCATATGTTACGCTTGTCTTTAGCTGGAAAAAATATATAGCCTGCTGAAGAACACTTTACTATAACTAAACCTTAATGGATTATCGATTATCGTTTCTATACTGTATGATATACTTGTTTAAATAAAATAAAATTACGGTATGTTGTGACCGTTTGGTGATTTCTCATGATTTCAGAAACATAACAAAAATATTCCTGCTTTACTAACACATCTTTTCCCTGCATCTCCAGAGAAAAAAGTTTGCAGCTTATTTGTTTCCAGACATCTCAGGTGAGTATGTTCATAGATAGGCTGATGTCTTAGAAAAAAATTACACTTTAATCTATGATGATACAATATCGCACTAAAATGTTTTTTTTTGTGTGTGTGTTTTATCACTTTGCTCCATGGGGCAGTTATAAATAACTGTTGCTGTCAATGTTTTATCATAGAAAGTACTGACTGAATTCTGTACGTAAACCAAAATAGAGTACATGCAGTATGGAGTCAGTATCAGATACGTGATCAGCCACAACAAACCAGTAAATTCATATCTACCTGTATTTTTTATTTTTTCCCCCGGTAGGTTAATACATTCCCATTTTTTCTCTTTATTATGATGCGGGCATAAGTCGGTTTTTGATATATGATATACTTCATAATTTAAATGGCCACGATAATACGACCATATGGCCACTTTCTACTACTCTTTCTGTACTTCCCTCTAACTCTTTGCTGTCACCACTGATTCTGACTAGGGATTTTCCACTAGAGAACTTGTCATATTTCCTGTACAGAAATTGTCATATTGATGATAAATGTAACATTGTTTCTACTTTGTAAGTCACTTTGGATAAGGCGTCTGCTAAATGCATAAACATAATGGTGTGCTCTGCTTTGGGAAAGAAGTCTGGAGAATTCAGATCTTCTTTTTCAGCTGAAGCAGAAAGCCTGTTTGGACACCATGTTGCAAGAAGACACCAATTCTCTCCACTAAATGAAGGGAGAATTTAAAAAAATAACAGCTTCCTTAATATATTTACAACTACAACCTTTGAATTTCATGTGTATCATACCATACCAACTTTATAAAACACTTTATATACTGACAGGACCAAAGTGCTGTACACTGTTAGAGTGATAATTATAAAATTATTGTGTGGACATATGAAACATTGAAAGAAAGAG